CAGCAGCTGAGGAGGGTTGCGTGGTGATGAAGGCTACATGCACAGTCTCGGCAGCGCAAGCAAACTCCAGCCCAGGCGGCTCCTTATACGCTACATTCTTTCTACCTGGTATATATCCCAAGTACATCTTGGGAAATGGCACACACAGGTCCAGGTTGGAAATGCTGGATACCAGAGCTCAACTCATAGGAGACTTCTGGATACCCACTTTCCAATGATAAAAGTCCTTAAAGCATATCCCAGGGTCGTTACAAACACCTAGAGTTGGACAAAGTCAAAAGCACTGGAAAGTTTCACCGGTGTATGGTAATAAGAACATACCCAGCATGACATCCTGTAAGCTCGTAGGATGTGCAGATCACACGCAAATCGCGTATTCTCCTCGTGCACATTAGCAAGGCGCAAAGAGCTAGAGGACTGACTTTAGCGCCAAGCTTCTCCAGAACAACTGTCAGGGCCGGTCCAGTAAAAGCAACAGAGATCAGCTGGTGGTGGGGGTATACGTTTTTAATCCCAGCACTCAGGAGGCAGAGGCAGGTGGATCTCTGTGAGTTCGAGGCCAGCATGGTCTACAAGAGCTAGTTCCAGGACAGGCTCCAAAACTACAGTAAAACCCCATCTTGACAGCCTACAGAATGAGAAAAGACCTTCACTAACCCGGCATCAGACAGAGGTCTGGTCTTCAAAATATACAAAGAACTCAAGAAATTGGACACCAAAGAATCACTTAATCCAATAAAATAAAATGGAGTACAGACCTAAACAGAGAACTCTCAACAAATGAATCTAAAATGACTGAAAGACACTTAAGGAAATGTTCAACATCCTTAGTCATCAGAGAAATGCAAATCAAAACAACTCTGAGATTCCATCTTACACCTGTAAGAATGGCCAAGATCAAAAACACTGATGATAACTTATGCTGGAGAGATTGTGGGAAAAGGGGAACACTCCTGCATTGCTGGTGGGAATGCAACCCCTTTGGATGTCAGTGTGACGATTTCTCAGAAAATTGGGAAACACCCTTCCTCAAGACCCAGTAATACCACTTTTGGGTATATATCCAAAGGATGCTCAATCGTGCCATAAGGACATGTGTTCAACTATGTTCATATCAGCTTTGTTTGTCATAGCCAGAACCTGGAAACAACCTAAATGCCCCTCGATCAAAGAATGGATAAGAAAAATGTGGTACATTTTCACAATGGAGTACTACACAGCAGAAAAAAATAATGGCAGCTTAAATTTTGCAGGAAAATGGATGGAGCTAGAAAACATTATTTTGAGTGAGGTAACCCAGACACAGAAAGACAATTAACACATGTACCCACTCATAGGTGGTTTTTAAACATAAACCAAAGAAAACCAGCCTACAAACCACAATCCCAGAGAACCTAGACAACAATGTGGACACTAAGAGAGACTTACATAGATATAATCTACATGGGCAGTAGAAAGTAGAAAAAGACAAGATCTCCTGAGTAAATTGGGAGCATGGGGACCTTGGGGGAAGGCTGGGGGGGAGAGACAGAGAGGGAACAGAGAAAAATGTAGAGCTCAATAAATATCAATAAAAAATGTATTAAAAAAAGAAAAAACCCTGTCTTGAGAAACTAAAAAAAAAAAAGCAACAGATATCCCTGCCCACCTATAGCTTTCCACCCATCCCACGCCATAAATGGGACCATGTACACATGCATATACATGGTTACCACATGCAAATACATATTTGCATATCATATGCAAAAACACCCTTGAATTATCACATGCAGGTATACATTTGCATGCCATGTGCAGCTGCATTTGCATATTACCTGTATATTTTTCACATCCTAATTACATTGCATACTAAATGAGAGTGTTAAATTAAATAGATAATGTTTAGACATTAAAAAATATTTTTATATAATAGTCTTGGCAGTAAGAAACAAGGAAACATTACCCAGTGTTTAAGACAAAGACACTGCAGTGTCTAAGGGAGGCAGGAAGGCGGAATGGGGTGGGTGGGAAGGAAGGATGATTACAAACGGGGGTTACCATCTCACTGTGCTAAGCTGCATCCTGGGTTCTCAAGCCCTCCAGCAGGAAACCAGCTCAGCTTCAAGAGGGAGGGCTGGACCCACCTCCTCCCCCTCTCCAGCTTCTCCCCATGCCAGCTTCCATCGTTTGTGAAACTCCCTCCTTCTCTGCTTCTCCAAGTCTACCTCGGTTTCTCCTCCCATGCTCCTCCTTTCCCTGGCCTCTGTCTCACTCACACACCTTTATCAGCTGCATTTGAGCTGGACGTACCGGAACGAGTGGGTAATTTCAGCACTCAAGAAGTAGAGACAGGAGGATCAGTTATCCTCAAGTATATGGCCCACCTGGGCTACAGGAAACCTTATCTCAAAAAAGGGGGGCGGGATGGAGAAGTGGCTCTGTGGCTAAGAACACTTATTGCAGAGGACCCAGGGTCAGTTTCCAGCACCGACATAGCAGTTCGCAACACAGGTGCATGTACATACATGCAGACAACACACACACACACACACACACACACACACACACACACACACACACACAAAATCCTTTAAAAACAAAAACAGAAAGAACTGTGGGACCCCTGGCAGTGGGAGCAGGGCTGTGTCTGGTGCTTTGACTGACTCTTGGGAACCCATTCCTCATGCTGGATTACCTTGCCCAGCCTGAGTTCAGGGGGAGGTGCTTGGTCTTATGGGTGACTTGATATGTCATGCTTTGCCGATGCCCATGGGAGGCCTGCCCCTTTCTCAGCAAATACAGAGGCAGGATGGACTGAGGTGGAAGGAAAGGAAGTGGGGGGGAGAGTAGGAGGACAGGAGGGCGAGGAGGTTGTAATCAGGACGTAAAATTAATTAATTAAAAAAAAAAACCAGGGGAAAAAAGCAAGAAGAGAAAAAAGATGTTGTCTCTTCACTGTGTAGGTTCCAAGGATCACACTTCCATCAGCAGGCTTGGTGCCAAGCACCTTTACCTGGTGGGCCATTTTGCTGTTCCCAGAGCCATTTAGAAGATTGGAAGGCAAGGGAGACCAGGTGGTAAACTCTGGCCTTAATCCTAGAAATTGAGACAGGAAAATAGAGAATTCAAGCTAGCCTTGGCGACAGAAAGAACCTGTTGCAAAACAAGCAAAACAGCTTCCGGCATAACTCAGTGATCATTTGCTTAGCCTGAACTCTGGCATAACTCAGTGGTCGTTTGCTAGACTGAACTCTGGCATAACTCAGTGGTCGTTTGCTAGACTGAACTCTGGCATAACTCAGTGGTCGTTTGCTAGACTGAACTCTGGCATAACTCAGTGGTCGTTTGCTAGACTGAACTGGTACCTGGGTTCTGCTCCCCCAGAACTTCAATAATGTGAGTTTTCTGGAACCACGGAGACTGAAGCAGGACTGACACTTCAGGCCAGCCTGAACTACATGAGAGTGTCTCAGAACAACAAGTAGACGAAGAGAAAACCCCGAGTGAGCCACAGAGAGAAAGGGAGAGGCTGCTGCAGGCCCTTCCTCCACAGGGAGAGCCTGTCTCTAAATAAATAAATAAAAATATAAAAACCCTTGTGGATATTTTTTAAAAAAATAGAAAGAATGAAAAGGAAAAAAAAAGTTCAGTTTGGACTACATAGTGAGTTCCAGGCTTGCTCGCCTGGGCTACCATCCCAATAAAACAAAAGAGAGAAAGAGGTGCGGTGGGGGGGGGGGGCGTTTAATTGGTTTTTAGAATTTTCCAACATCAATCTTTAACACATATCCTGAGAAAATCCCCTAGCTGTAAAATTACCCACAAAGATACTGGATATAGGTGGTTATTGCTCAAGCAGAAAAAATGTCATTTAAGTGATTTGCTTAAAGTTATTATCATAGTGGCTGGAGGTTAAGAGCACTGCCCGCTCTTCCAGAGGTACTGAGTTCCATTCCCAGCAACCACATGGTGACTCACAACCATCTGTAATGAGATCTGACTTGCAGGGATACATGCAGACAGACTGTATACATAATAAATAAAAAAATCGTTTTAAAAATAAAAGTTATTATAGTACAGTTTTCACAGGGACCTCCGAATATCTTTCCAGCCCAATCCCAGCACTTGGGCGCACATGCGCACATGCGCACACGCCCACACTCATGTACACATGCACACACAGACTCCAGTGCCCCCCTCTAGACTCCACCTCCCCCAGGACTCCAGCGCCCCCTCTGGACGCCACCTCCCCCAGGACTCCAGCGCCCGCCTCTGGACTCCACCTCCCCCAGGACTCCAGCGCCCCCTTGGGGTCCTGTGCCCTCTTACTCCACTTCCCCATCTCCATGCTCTCCCTCTCCTTGGCTCCACCCCTCCCCCCCCCAGCGCCTGCACACGACTGCTCTCTTTGGGGAGGTGGTGGCAGCGGCTGCAGCACGAAGATCCGCTTAGCACGAGGCGACAAGGTGGCAGCCATGCGGTAGACTTCCCAGGCTCTGCCTCCGTGGTGAGGCCCCAGGGTGCTTCGGCCTCGTAGGGAGCGTCAGGGAGCGTGGGCGTGGGTGGGGTGGAGGCGGGGTGGAGAGAACAGGTGGGGCATGAACATGGGAGGCGGCCATGGAGCCAGATGGGCCGCGTGCACATGGCGGCCAAGAGCAACGAGGTCCCAAGAGAGGTTGCTCTGCTGTCTTGTAGACCTCGAGTGTTGCACCAGGTTGGGGATGGGTGAGCCTGTACACGGACCCGGGTTTTGCTGGACCCTTGGCTATGCCAGCTCAGACCACCACCCTTCACCACCGTGAACCCACCTTGGGACTTAGAATGTACTTGCTGTAGTTTATATCCCGCTAGAGACTTTTGTGGGGGTGGGGGAATGTTGAGACATGGTCCCGCCATAGAGCCCAGACTGGCCTGGAATGTGGGCTCTGTCTTTTGCACTTTGAAAGTCTCTGTCCGTTAGATCTCAGCCCCTCTGCACCCCGTAAAGATTGCATGCTCTCTTTCCATCAGGGGACGTCACTATGGCTGCCGCCGAGGTCCCTGTCCTTTCTGAGTCCTTCACCCAAATCAAAGAGCAGAAGTTGAAGCCTGGAGACCAGGAAAAGGAAAAGGAGGAGAGTGGGGTACAAAGAATGGGAGCCCAAGAGTGTACTGTCGAGGTGGAGGCCGAGTTCTGCCAGCTTCTGGATGCAGGGCCCCAGAAAGACCAGCCCGAGCTGCCTTTGTGGGTCCCGGTAGATGGCGACAGGCAAATCCTGACCCTGCAGACCTTGCACCTGACCTCCCAGGATGTGCACCTGCAAGGGCTGGGTTGGCTGAGCGTGCCACACTCCGAGGGGTTCCCAGTGATGATGCCACAAGCGGAAAGCTTCCTGCCACTGTCCTCCGTGCTGTGGCTGGAACAAGAGTCCCAGCCCAGCCTTCAGCATTGTGTGGCCATCAGCATCCCGGAAGAGCTGTGCCCACCTGAGGAGCTGGAGCGCACGCATTTCCACCTGCTCTGGGAGAGTGTGCCAGTGGCTGAGGAGGACCAAGAATTAATGCCAGACTTGGGTGAAGGCACAGCCCTGATGAAGGTATGTTCCTTTCTTCCACGCCGATGCCTTGTGGGAGAGAGGAAAGTAAATCTGATTTTTCTTAGGTCAAGGCTTTGGATGATATTATGTATGGACAAGATAATTTGAAGTTGGAAAGTAAAGCCCAGTATAAAAATAACAAGAGACCGTACCATATATAAACACACACATAGAATATAATGTATGTGTATGTTTTTAAAAATCTACAGGATTTAATCCCAGCACTTGGGAGACAGAGGCAGGCAGTTCTCAGTGAGTTTGAGGTCAGCCTGGTCTACAAAGCAAGTTTCAGGACAGCCAGGGCTACACAGAGAAACACTGTCTCTAAAAACAAAACACAAAAAAGTTACAGGAAAAAATGCTATTCGTGTGAGGTGTGTTGTGTTTGAAAAAGGAAATATTACGGCCTGGAGCTGCAGTTCAGCTGGTACAGTGCTCGCCTGCACACATGGAGCCTGGTTTTCATCCCCAGCACCTTATAAATCTAGCTTGGAGGTTCATAGTGGGGCATTCACGAGGTGGAGGCAGGAGGAAGAGCGGTTCAGGATCATCCTCAGGTACATAGTGAGTTTGAGGCTGGCTGGACAACAGACCCTGGAAGAACCCAAAAGAAAAACACCACCGGGACTGGAGAGATGGTTCGGTGGTTAAGAGTGCGGGCTGTTCTTCCTAAGAATCTGGGTTCGATTCCCAGTACCTACACGGCAGCTCACAACTGTGTGTAACTTGGGTTCTAGGGAACCCAACACCCTCACTCAGACGTACATGCAGGCAAAATATCAATGCATATAAAATATAAAATAAATAAGAAAACCACCACCAACAAATGAGACCGAGCCACCGCAGAAAGCCTGGTGCTAAATTAACAACAGCTTAATTACAAGCATTTGGTAGCTGTGAGCAGTCTTACGTGTTTGCTTTTCCCTCTGTGTACTGTGGTTTGCCAGAGTGAAGAACTCCATCAGACGGTAAGTAAGTGTTGCCTCTGATTGCTCATTTTTCACTTATCAGTTTGAAGACAAGGAGAAGGACCAACCGTTGTCAGAGGGAGGACCAGATAAGGAAGGAGAAGAGAGATATCTTTTTGTGGAAGTGGCCCCGGATAATGAAGGAAAAGATGAAATCGTTCTGACCATTTCCCATCTGAACCTAGAAGAGCAGCAAGATCAGCCCGCACCAGACCAGACAAGTGCGCCTAAAGCTGCAGCCACGAAACCTCCGAGGAAGGCCAAGGGTAGGCTGGCCCGCGTGCACGGGACGCTGAGAGACCCCCTGGTTTTCTTGTGGGAAGGTGGCAGTTGTTGAAGTTTGAGGTGTCGACTTTTAAAAACTCCTTTCAGAACATCAGGAAACGGAAGAAATTTTAAGCTGATGTTCTATATTGAAAATTGAAGCCAAAACGTTTTTTTGTTGTTGTTTTTTGTTGTTGTTCTTGTTGTTTTGTTTTTGTTTTGCATACAGACATTTTAAAAAGTGGTTTTTAAATGTTCCAGAAAGTATTATGCACATAAATCACAGGCCAGGCCCTGGACTCTGCTTTCTGACTTGAAGTTCCTTGGGGGCAGGTAATTACAGAGCAGGGCAGCAGCAAGCCCTGGTCCCGTAGAAAGGCAAAGAGTGAAGGGAATAGGACCAGGGACCCCTTCCTGCAGAAGGCTAGAGGCTAGGCAAGGGGACAAGCAAAGCTGGGGGTCAGAAAGAAAAACAGAGGGAGACTGGGGGGCAGGAAGAAGGACTGAGCCAGGCTGGGGGCCATTGTGGAGAATGAAGCCAGCCTAGGAGCTGGGACCAAGGGCCAACCAGCAGAAAGAGTGGCCTTCCTGCGGCCATCAATGGCCCTGTCAGGGCACTCAGAGGAAGGGCCAGCGAAGCTCTGTGGAGGTCTCATAGTAGCACAATAGATGACATCCTAGCGGCCCACGGGAAGAATTTGACTCTCACAGTGGTTTAATGGGCTGCTGTTTTAAAGTAATTTCTCGCTTATTTAAATCAAGACATTTTATCCCATTATCCCAATTTTGAGATGACTTTTTAAAAAGTCCTCTCTGACTGAAATTGTGGCTCAGTGGCTCAGCACTTTCTTAGCATGCGTGAGAGCTTGGGCTCCATCCCCAGTCCGGCAAGGAGAACACCGCTAAAGTCAGTCTATGACAGCACACTGCATCTTTGTCTTCTAGCGACCCACGGCCAGGCTGGGAAGGAGGTGACTCCGTTTACAAAGGCACTAGCCACCCTGCCAACACTTCAGTTCCCTTCTGCGGGGCCGGGGTCTGCCTCTGAAGGTGGAGGTTTGGCTCTTTGCCTGAGGGCAGCTTCTCATACAGTCAGTCACGAGGCTGTAGCCCCAAATTTCTGGCCTACCTCGCTTTCCAGCTTTTAATGTATTTGCAATCCTGTGCAATCATCATCACTCTAATTCCAAAACATTTTTTATCGTCCCCAGAAGAAACCTCTACCATTGAGTTACTTTCCACCCCTGGCCTCCTAGCCCTGGGAACCACCAATATGTCCGTAATAATACTTATAAACCGTGTGGCCCCTGGATCTTTATTCTTTCACTTAGTAGTTTCAGGGTTTAGCCTTATTGTAGCATAGGTTAGCATTTTCTTTTTAACAACCACCTAGTGTTCTATCGTATGGATCACAGTTATGTATCTGCTCGTCCTTTGCGGATGTCGAGGTTGTTCCCACTCTTTGCTATTGTGAATGGTGTTGCTATGACTATCACTATACTTTAATTTTGGGGAATGTACATAAGGAGTGGAATTTCCGGGTCATATCTTTGTTCCATGTTTAACGTGTGTGTGTGTGTGTGTGTGTGTGTGTGTGTGTGTGTACATGCATGTGGAAACCCTATAGGAAGAGGTCACAGACTGTGTGCTGTATTACTCTCTACCTTACTCTCTGAAGACTCTCTCTCACTGAACCTGAAGCTAGGCTGGAGACCAGCAAGCTCCAACAATCCTCCTGTCTCCAACTCCCACAGCACTGAGTTAAAGGCATTCAAGGTCATGCTTAACTTTTAATAAGGGCGCTGGGGATTTGAACTCAGGCCCTTGTGCTTGCATAGAAAGCACTCTTCCACACTAAGCCGTCATGTTTAATTTTCTGAGAGACTGCGGACTTTCTCCATAGCTGCCTGCAGTGTCAGAGACTCGTTCCTCCACAGCCTTACCAAACCAGTTTTGGTGCTTTGTCCCGTTGATCTGATGGTCCTGGGTGTGAAAAGGAATCCTGCTGCTTTCGTTCACATATTCCTAGTGGCCGTTGTCTCCAAGCATGCATTGCCCCTCTGTGTGTGTCCTGGAGAGAAACGCCTGCGTAGCCTCGGCTGCTTGTGTGAGTTTCTGGCGGCTGTTGTCACCAAGCAGCACTTGCTCAGTGCCTTAAAACAGCAGGTGTGATCGGCCACGGTGCTGGAAGCTGGAAACTGCCCTCAGCCAGCTCCTTGGGAGCTTCCTCAAGAAATGTTAACGGGGGCTGCATCCTCCTTCGCAGCTGTGTCCTGCCAGAGGGTGTCCTCGCTTGTCTGTCTGGCCTGGCTCTGCCAAGTGGAACAGCTGAGGTACAGGAAACGATTGTATCCAGTCCAGTAGCCACCAGCCATGCGGCTGGTGGGCGCAAAAATGAGGCTTACATCAGAGAGCAGCCGCGTTTTGTTTTCACTTTAGTTATTTTAGATAAAAACTTAAATAGTCGTGTGTAGCTGTTGGCTGTGGTTTCCTTCAACTTCATGCCAGTTTGCCAGAGCTCCCTGGCTTGGGTGGAGGATGCTGAGGAGCCAGGCAGGTGTCTCCGTTTCACTCAACAGAGAACATATGCACCCGGGTCCATGTTTAAGGGAGATTCTCTTCTAGGACCCCCTGCTTTGAGCAGACACTTCATCTTCTGCCCCTTCTGGTCCCTGCCATACTCTGAATGTTATAACATTTCTTTAAGACTGACTTTTTAAATTTTGTTTTTGTTTTATTGTTTTTTGAGATAGGGCTTCTCTGTGTAGCCCTGACTATCCTAGAATTCACTCTGTAAACCAGACTAACCTCGAACTCATAGAGATCCACCTGTCTCTGCCTCCCAAGGGCTGGGATGAAAGGAGTGTGCCACCACTGCCCAGCTAGGATTGATTTATTTTTAATGTTTGTGTGTGTGTGTGTGTGTGTGTGTGTGTGTGTTTGTATTCATGTGTCTCTGTGCACCACCTGTGTGCAGTGCCCATGGAGGCCAGAAGAGGGCACAAGATTTTCTGGAATGGGTGTTGCAGACATTAGTGAGCCCCACTGGTGCCCGTTCAGGACAGCAGGAAGATGGGTTAGGGACCTAAACAGAAACCTATTTCCTGACAAAAATGATGACGCTCTTCATCAAGCATGGGGTATCCAAGGTTTTGAGACATCTCCTAATCCTGACCTTTGCTGGAACTGCTCAGGGCAGAGCCTTCCAAATGTGGCACTGTGTCTTCTCCCTATAGGAAAGCCACGCACCTTCCAGTGCGATGTCTGCCTGTTCACGTCTTCCAAATTCTCAACTTTCACCCGCCACAAGAAAATTCACAACGACGAGAGGCCTCACCTGTGCCACCTGTGCCTGAAGGCTTTCCGCACTGTCACCCTCCTCCGGAACCACGTCAACACCCACACAGGTGAGGCGCCCTGGGTGACCTTCCTTCCCAGATGTGCTGTACGTCTCGGGGAGGGTGCGGGGGAACCCAGTGAGTTCTCCCTTCACCTGGGGCTTCACTGAGACCTAGCAAATAGAAAATCCCAGAAGCTGGGGGTGGAGCTCCATGTGGAGCTCTTGCCTGGTGCATGCAGGGTCCTGGGTTTCATCCCCAGCACTGCAATCATAAAGGGAAATTGCAGAAGAAGCAGCTCAGACGTTTAAATAATTTTCCTCTCAGTGCGTAGTTTAAAGAGTTTTGTCAGTATCCTCTTGGCATCTGCTAAACTCAATTTGTTGCCCATGCTTTGTAAAAATGAGGACTCAAGCATGCTAGGAAAAGTTCTTCCCGCTGGGCTACTTTCGCAGATCTTTACTTTTTATGTTGAGACAGGTCTAAGTTGCCCGGGTTAGTCTGGAACCTGTGATCCTCCTGTTTCAGCCCCTGAGCAGCCAGGATGATGCCCTTGGGCCACCAGCCGAGCCCATTTGTTCAGTCAATTTCTTATTGTTGTTCGCTCTGAGTTTTAGTGTCTAATTTATTAATTAAGCCTCATCATAAGCGTTCAGGGACCACTTGTACCTTGCTCTCCAACAAGGTGGGTTCCCCTTGTGCAAACATTTATGCTTAGTTTTGTCTTTCTTCTCCTGTTTTGTTTTGGAAATAGGTCTCACTTGTAGCCCACTGATCTCTAGTCACCAATCCCTCTGGCCTTAGCCTTCTGAGGGCAGGGGTTACAAGGCTGCCCCGCACCATTCCCAGCTTGGTTTTGCCCCCTCCACACGCCTTCTTGAATTTCAGCTAAAAGCACTGACTGTTACCCAGAGCGTTGTCTCGTACATCTGTGATATTTATAGTTCAAAGAACGTCTTAATTGCTGAAGCCTTTTCAGACTGCCATTTCAGAACTAAGAAGTCACTGGAAGTTTTGCAGTTAAGTCTTGTTTGAAAAGTGTAAACCACGTGATTTTTCTAGGAACCAGGCCCTACAAGTGCGGGGACTGCGACATGGCCTTTGTCACCAGCGGAGAACTGGTCCGGCACAGGCGTTACAAACACACTTATGAGAAGCCCTTCAAGTGCTCCATGTGCAAGTATGCCAGCGTCGAGGTGAGGCCCCTTGCTGCCAGCCGTGTACAAGAGTGAGAAATCGCCACCCCGAGGGAGGGCTAGCCTGTTACTCAACTGTTTACCATATTTTAAAATCTATGCGAGAAGCAAGCCACAGGCATTAGTGTCCAAACCGAATACAGGAAATTGGAGCTGGGTATGGTGACTCACACTTATAATCACAGTACTGTGGCAGGATGATTGCTGTGAGTTCAAGGCCAGCCTGGTCTTCATGCTGACCCTCAGAGGACAGCTTGAGGGAGTCAGTTCTCCCCTTCTGGAGGGTTGAACTTAGACCGTCAGGCTTGGCAGAAAGCACCTTTACCAGCCGCGTCATCTCACCGTCCCCAAACAGTATTTATCTGTGTTTACTTTTATTATGTTTAAACTGGGGGAGGTGGCATGTGCCCATGAGTACAGGTTCCTGTGGAGACCGATAGAGATACCAGATCCCCTGCCGCTGGGGTTAAAGTGGTCAGGGGCCGGCTGACAGCAGTGCCAGGGACGCGGCTTGAGGCCTCTGCAAGGGCAATCCGTGGTCTTAGCTGCTGAGCCAGCTCTTTGCCATTCCCAACAATATTTAAAAGTATACAGATTGTAGATATTAGCTACAATTGAGAAATAACCCCGGGGCTGGAGAAATGGCCCGCAGTCACGAACACCAGCTGCTGTGTCACAGGATCTGGTTTGACTCCCAGCACTCACGTGGTGGCTCACAACCAGATGTCTGTAGCTCTAGTTCCAAGAGATTCAATGCCCTCTCCTCTGGCCTCTGGGTACCAGGCACACCTGTGACACCCAGACATATACGCAGGCAAAACACTCGTATGCACAAAGTGAAAATTTAAGTCCAGAGAGAGAGAGAGAGAGAGAGAGAGAGAAAGACCCCACCACCACCACTTGTTGAAAAGGCCTTCCCAGTATTTATGTCACCGTCAGGGTTGCAAACCAGAGTGTCTCCTCTAGTATAGAACTTGGGAGTTTGAACTGAAACTGTGTCCCCAACACCACCGGGACAGACCTGTAACTGATGGCTTCAAGATGTAACTCTGTCCACACACACCGCAGCACCAGAGACGCCAATGGAATTAGCTGCATGTTCTACTCATGACAACTAAGTGTGTGAGTGTGTGTGTGTGTGTGTGTTGTATGTGTATGTATGTGTGTTGTGTGTGTGTTGTGTTTTGTGTGTGTGTGTGTGTTCTGTGGTACTAGGGTTTGAACCCAGGACCTCCAACATGCTCGGCAACTGCTCTATCACTGACCTATGTTCTCAGCTGTGTCTTCTTTTTTGAGACAAGGTCTCACTAAGTTGCCCATGCTGGCCTTGAACTTGCTCTGCAGCTTAGGCAGTCCTTGAACTTGAAGTCCTCCTACCTCAACTTCCTGAGTAGCTGGGATGACCGGCCTGGGCAGCTGCTGTCAGGACCCTCGGTGAAACAAAGGCCATTTGTGGCTTCTCCTTTAGCGGCCCATTTTCTAACGGTCTGTATCCAAGGTTTCATCTCATGTGAGGACGCTGACTGCATCCTGGCAGAGGAGGGTTAAGCAGGGACTCCTAACAGGAACTAAGCTAAAGGGGACAGAGAAAGCTTAAACGCAGCAATGACGCAAGTGTGTTTCATCAACCGGGGGATTTCACAGACGGGTCGGAACTCGATTCCAAGAACCTCTTTCCGCTGCGGCTGTTTTTAAAAAGAGCGTTCCCAGCTGAGGCAAAGGTTGTGACGCAACGTGAGGGTTCAAAAGGTATCCAAAAAGGGGACTCCGAGGCTCCTCATGAGAAGGACTTACTATGGGTGTCCCACCATTCTCCCTGGGAACTCTGAGACCCTGCCTAGTGGCAGAGTGTCCATGCAGCCCAGGGATGGCCCATGGGACACTGCCCACGATGCTGCTGTCTTGATGGTACCTTCTGGCTAGCAGTGAGATAGGGTGATGGGCTGTGCCCTCCGTACCCCACCCTTCTACACGTGACCTCGCAAAGTGGATTAGACACACCAGTTTCTGATGCTTTTGCATTCTGCTGAGCCCCTTGGAGGCAAGTTCAAGGCCTGCCTGGGCTAGAATGTGAGCTATAAGCCAGCCTGTACAACTTAAACATGGTCTCAAAATAAAAAGTAAAAAGAGGCTGGAGATGTATTTCAGTGGTAGAGCACTTGCCCGCCTCGAGAAACCAAGCAGGGACGTCCTATGTTACCACATTTGATCTCCTACCGTTCGCCTCCTGAACCCTGGAACCTCCTACACTGCAGTGTTAAAAATTCTTTTTCTTTCCCTTCTATGATACATGAAAGATGATCCTCACCGTTCTTTAAAAAAAAAATCAAGCTGAGTCGTCCGTCTCCGACCTCGCTTTTCACTCCAAATCTTCCTCTGTTTTTGAATGTCCTTCCAGCCTCCTGCGTTCCAGGGAAGCAGGTCCATGTAGCCTTGCTGAGCGTAAGCAGGGCTGATGTGGTTCCCAAGCCTCCAGTCCAGTGTGGCTGATGGCTCTGCTCCCCGGGGAACACCGAGAGAAAGGGTGGCAGGAAAGCAGGCCGCTGTGGTGAACGAGAAGTTTCACGCTGGTGCCTACTTAGTGGCCTTCGATCCCTAGTAGAGTTCATTCTTCCCCTTACAGCTCCCCTCTTTGTTATGTGTTTGTGTCTGAGACTGGAGCTCCCAACGTGGCCCCGGTTGGTCCAGCACTCACTCTGTAGCCTTGGCTGGCCTGGAACTTGCTGTATAGACCAGGCTGACTTCAAACTCACAGAGATCCCCTTGCCTCTGCCTCCCACCTGAGTACAACAAGACCATCGTACAGGAGGCTGAGGCAGTAGGATCGCTGAGAATTTGAGACCAGTCCTTGTGTAAAAACATCTTTAAAAGAAGTCAGCAGCACACAGATCCTCCCTTCGGGGCAACAGTCTTGAACTCAGTTAGCGGTGGGCCCATGAGGACTCTGAGCCGGCCTTCATCCAATGGTCCTGCTTTTCCACCTTGGAGAGCGTTCCCAGCGTGTGTCTGTCTCCTCGGTGATTTAAACCTCACTGCCGCCGTGAGCCGACAAGGACTTGGAAATAAAGTTAGAAACATACACAGCACTGAGCAGAAGCTCTGTTTCTGTTTTTAAAGTAAAATTGAGGGTGGAAGTCTTCAAACTACTGCTCATTCACCAACCCCAAAGAATCTTGTGCGCACAGCCAGCAGCAGAACAAAGAACCATCAGCAGATTGGACAGTTCTGTTTTATGGGACACCCTGATGCTGAGGTCTGGTTGTCTTAAATTTTTCCTTTTGCTTTTTTGAGACAAGGTCTCTATAGCCCAGGTTAACTTTGGGTTCACGGTATGATCCAGGTTGTTCTCAAACTTGCAACAATCCTCCTGCCGTAGCTTCCCCAAAGTTGGAATTGCGGGCATGCACTACCACTCCTAGGTTCCCTTTTTTCCATCTTTCCTTTCTGGATTCATTTTTTTGGGGTTGGGGGAAAAGAGTATTTAAGACAAGGTCTCCTGATAAACCGTGAACTACAGCAATCCTCCTGCCTCAGTTTCTTGATTTCTGGGGTTGCTCATATCTTTCACAGGAACCCTGAAGTTGGTTAACTGGAACCCTGACCACCCTCAGGTTCCCATCACAATGACTCTCTCCCACCTGTCCTAGGCAAGCAAGCTGAAGCGCCACATCCGCTCACACACGGGTGAACGGCCCTTCCAGTGCTACCAATGTGCTTACGCCAGCAAGGACACCTACAAGCTGAAACGCCATATGCGGATCCACTCAGGTGAGAGCCACGCACACACTCAGGTGAGAGCCACGCTTACACTCAGGCGAGAGCCACACTCACACTCAGGTGAGAGACATGCTCACACTCAGGTGAGAGCCACACTCACACTCAGGCGAGAGCCACACTCACACTCAGGCAAGAGCCACGCTCATACTCAGGAGAGAGCCACACTCACACTCAGAACACGCTCACACTCAGGCGAGAGCCACACTCACACTCAGG